CCCCGGCCACACTGGGGAGGTCATTTTCTTCTCGGCAATTAGTGAAGTGGTGGCATCGCTAAAAGAAGTTGAATAAACACATTCAACCCGGCTGGGTCCCCGGTTTGCTCTGTTCTCACCACCCTTCCTTCTGGGCGCGCGGTGGGGCCCCATCGAGCGAGAGCCTGATGCCTGTGCACTACGCTTTCATTCAGGCCTGGTTGGAAAGGGCTTTTAGGAAAGAGGAGGAGGGGGGAAATAACCCTTTAGCTTTCTTCTTTTACAACAAATGTCTTCACTTTTTCTTTTCAGGGAGGAAAAATGCCAGCTTCTCTAAGAAAACTGCAGCAAATGGCTGTTTTCATGGGACTGTTCAGCGGCGGGGGATGCATCGTGATGTATAATCTTATGCAAAGTAAGTCTTGGTGCTGTTAGCAACCTTATTTCTCCTCTGCCCCTTTCATTTGCTTTTGTGTAGCGGGGAAAATAGCAGCATGCAAGATGTGAAAAGCAGATGAAGTGAAGGGAAGTGTGGCTGAGCCTCTGGGTTCTGCCTCTGTGGGCTCCGCTTTGTTCAGCCCCAGGGCTGCTGCTCTCCCAAGCGCTGCTGCACGCATTTCCAGAGGTTGGTATTGCATAGGAAGCAGGCTGCTGTGGTCAGGAGAAAGTCTGGTTTCTGGGGGGTTTCCTGGGGGTGAGGGTGAAGTGAAAGCTTAGGCAGTAGCGCAGGTTTCATTTCTTACCGAGATTTTACAACTGGGCAGGAAGAGAGGACCATCTGTGAGAAGGTATTAAAGTCTAGCGGTTTTATCTGTAAATCTCTCTGTGGTGCTGGCCTTTAAACACAACACGCCTGTGAAGTGCTAAGATACCATTAGTTTCTCCTGAATGAAGGGCAGATAAGAGCGCCCAGCATTGAGAAGACCAGGACAATGAGAGAAAAGCTAGACAGGTGCCATTGCTGTTTATAGACAGCTCTAGTTGCTATGTGTCTTTGGCCAATAATCCAAATTATTAGTCCAAATGATAGATGTTTATTTTTTCTAACATTACTTCTAGATATTTAGCATCAGACCAGAAATAGGCTTTGCCTCTCCCTCAGGGGGTGCTATAGGCCTCTTGGCTCTATGCCTCTCCCTTGCTGGTACTATCAAATGATACTGCTTTTCACCTACCCTTATATCAGAGGATGCTGCCAGAAAAGTGTAGCCAAGCCTGTTCCTCAAGCCCTCAGATAAGCTCTGAAACCTCCCCTTCATTTTAACAAATCAGACAAGGCTGGAAAGCAAGCTTTAATTTTAGGCAGCTCATGCCCTCGAGCTCTGGAGTACATGACAGATATATGATCCTCTTACGCTTTAAAATATTGAGTCTGGCTTTAACAAGGACATCAGCATTTTTTAATTTTCAGCTTCAGCATTGTTATCTAGAAATCTCAGGGGGGTGTGGGGGGGAAGTCACCCCCTGTACTGTACAGAAAGTCAAAGGGCTCGTTCCCCACATCACTTAGCTGTGCAATCAAGTGGCACAATGCAATGGCTACTTCTTGCTCTGTTGCAACATTGGTGGCCACCGAGCAGCTGTGACAAGCCAACTGGGCTGTTGAAAGGACACTTTCTGCTGCAGAGTGTCTTTCTGTAGCCTCCAACAGGCAGTGGAGCCACACTGGGAGCCTTCCTTCCTTGGCCCACACCCAGGGTTATCCTAGTTCCTTCTGCTATCCCAGTGCACAGAACTGGCCCATACTGGGACCTGTGAGGAACAAAGTGGCTTCCGTCGTGGTGGGAGCAGGGGGAGAGGGGTGCTTCCCTCCCCTTCAGGCTGAAGGGAAGTTTGCACGCACGTGGTCTCTGTGAAAGCTTGCACACACACTCAGGCAATCCTATTTCTACTCACTCTCTTCACCTCCACGCCCTCCTCACAGGAGCAGTCTCCCCAGCCAACCCCAGCACCCTTTCAGCTCTCCTACTGAGAGATGAAACATGCGGACAAACGGATTAGTTGGGCATTTTATGTCCAATACACGAGATGCTAACAAGGAACAGCTGAGAAGGAGCACCAGGAAACTCGAACCCGTTTCCTCTCCAACCTGCAGGATGAGCACAACCTACTTTTAATAGGGTCTGGGTGGCTGCTTGCCATGATCTGTAGGCACTAAAGGGCTGGTATGCTGCAACCCCTTTTGCTGGGGCTCCTTAGGATGGCCCAGGGGGCCAGGGAGGACCAGCACAGGCTGCAGCCTAGCAAAGCTGTTTCTATGCCAACTGGATGCTGCCTGCTCACAGGGGATGCCTCTAATTAGGGAGAAGGGGCAGCATCCTTCTGCCTCACTCTCCAAGAGCAATACCGATAGGCAAGAGACCAGGAAACAAACCTTACACCTTGTTTTAAACTCTTTGGAAGGCAAGAGCACAGTTGCCAGAGTAGGATTTTCACATATGCACACTCTTAGCTTAACTCTGCCCTTCTTGATGTCAAGAGAGTGAAGTTAGGCTGGCGTGAAGCACATCTAGAAATCTCAGCAGGCAAGCCTCAAAACTGTTTATAAGCAAGTCTCTGCCTCCATAAGGAGGGTCGGCACATTTCCAGCCTCACAGCTCTGCGTTGCACAGTGGTCACCAATGGACAGCATTTCCCAGCTATATATAGTAACCAGACATTGATAAATAGCAATTTACTACAATTGCCCTCCATATGCCAACACTGCAGCAGCCAGTCTACTGTGCTATTGTTGCTGCTTGACCATTAACTCTAATGGTGCTTCTTTGTGCCTCCCTTTTAATGCATCCATCAGTAGAGTTGCAGCTTCGTGGCTGCCACTTGAAAAGCTGTATCAAGACCACAGCAAGAGTTTCACAGCAGCAGCTGTTCCTGTCTCACACCAATGTCTGCGAAATATTCTCCATTGTTAAAGTATTTTCTGTACCTCCTTTAAAAAAAAAAATTACATTCAGAACATTTTCAGATGTTCATCCTTATGCTTTTTCCCCTCCCTTTTTTTTTGTTCCTTTTAGATGACGTACAAACATATGAAAAGCAGGGAGACACAGCCATAAGCTGAACTGTGTATCAGTATAGAACAGGCTATTTTCAGAGCCCTCTTGACTTATGTGAGCTGAATAACATTACAGCTCAGCACTGCTGCTCTGATGTAAGGGTGTGTTTCCTCCTTTAGCCAGATTTCTCCTAATTAATAGTTTCAGAGTGTTTTTCAGGGAGGGTGCGGTAGTCTGGAGGAAATGTCTTTTTTTTTTTTTTAACTTAAGTTTTGATTTTAAGCGGACAGTCTCCTCACTACCCTGTTTCTCTCACCTAGAGAGTTTTGCCAGGACCCAGTATTATCAGCAGGCTTTGGAGCAATTGAACAATAATCCCGATGCCCTGGAAGCCCTGGGTGCCCCCCCTCTTAAGGTTCACAACATCCGACTGACGGATGGGAGTAACCACGTGGACACAGAAAGAGCACAGGTAACACTGGGGAGGTGGTGTCACAGGGTGGCTTCCCAAGGCGCCGGGTGACAAGAGATCAGCTAGGGGATTTTCTGCAGGTCACGAGTGACCTGGGGGCACTGGAAGGCGGTAGGGTGGGATGCCAGTTGATTTGGAAGAGGAATGGATTTCCAGAACATAAATCTGTGCTCTAATGCAAGGGACTAGAAACACCAAGAGCAGCATCTTCATGTTGTGCTATATGGGCACATCACAGAATGCAAAGGGATCTCCCAAGTCAGTCGATCCCCCTCCTGCTACTGTAAGCCACAAAATCATTTTCAGAAACGTATCAAGATCATCTTTAAAATAGCAGCTGCCTCCCTCTTCTCCCTGGATACATCCCACTCTAGTTTTTAAAGCTTTATTCAGAACAGGGATTCATAGCTACTCACCAGCTACACTGTGGTACAGCACAAATGGTGTGGTTTTTGAAAGCACCCGTATGTCAGGACAGCTGCCCGGCATGGGGCTGAGTGCTGGGGTTACGCAGTGACCGGAGAATGCTGCGCTGGGTGCTGAAGTATTGCACAAGGCTGCCTTGCGTCAGCCCAGGGTTGGGACGAGGCAAACCTTGCAAACACAAGTCTGCTTCCACTCTGGGTTGCTGCCTGAAGAGGACTTTCCATCAGTGTTTTTACCCCTTAATCCAGGCTGCTCTTCCCTGGTTTTGCTGGTGACGCAAAATGTCCCTAGTGACCTCTCCGGGCAACTCACTGAGGGATCTCGTCACATTTGAATCATTTTGTTCCTCCTGGTGACTAATTTTGAGTCCTGGTGACCAAACAAGGGCAGCAAGGAATGGGGCAGACGCTGCAGTGAAGGAGGGGAGCTGTCAGGGCAAGAAAAATCAACCTTTAACTAACTCATAAAATTTCCACTTTCCATCTCACTCCAGCCAGGCTTCACCCACGTGATACCCTGGGCCAAAACGTTTCCCAATTTCCCAGGTTTTAGAGATTCTACAAGGCAACATATCTAAGACCAAAAATGTGGGAAAAAAGCACAACCTCTTATGCTGATTGAAAAGAAGAGAACCTGTCCCACTGATGTTTTCCTGCATCACCTTTTAAGAATGCTGGTTGCTCAGGTGACTCAGGGTGAAGTCAAACCCTGCCTTTTGCCGACCTCACCCAGGACACAAACCACCAACTTTCTTCTCTGCTTTTTCATGCTTATGAGCATTCATGTTCTCGTGAAATAAAACTAGTTAATCATCATTAATGATTATATATCATAGATCAATTTACTGACTCCACAACATCCCCAGCTTCTGCCTACTGGGCTGGTTGGAGAACCCCTGGCATTTTCCCTTTGTGATTGCAGTACCACCAGCGAACTCTACGCTTGAAACATTTCTTTTATACAAACATTAGACCAAGTGCAATTAGCTGTGGTTGGTGCTGCAGCTCCTAGCTTTGTTTGTTAAACAACTGAGTGGTAGAATTTGTGACACTGAGAAAAATCATTGAACATCTCATTGCCGTGATGCATGTTAATGGACTGATCTGTAGAGTATCTCAACCTACAGGCTTGTTATGGTTATGGAAAGCTCTAGTACAGTGCAGGTCACCTCTGGATCACCATGCGTTCTGGTAAGGAAAGGTGTTTGCTCATAACTATTTCAGAGAGCGAGTGGTTTTCCCTGGGGGTTGCAGCTGTAACACAGTACATTCTTTCAGCAGAGAGAGATTAATGTATGGCAGAACAGGCATACTTGTATAGCCATGCTATACATGTTAGCCATTTGAAAAGCTTAGTGAAACTCTGAAATACGTTAAAAAAAATAAAATTAGGGTTTACGTTAAAAGGGAGGGGTTGCATCTTTGACTATAGAAGGAGTGAAGGCCCATTTCAGTAACATGCTTCACTGAATCTTTAACATACTTTTACATCTGCAGATAAAGTTACCAGTATCTGGAACAAAATCAGCGGGGTACCTCTATATTAACTCAGAGATGGACCACTCTCGTCAATGGTGCGTACTGGAAGAAACACATAGGCACAGGGAGAGACATGGTAGGACAAAAGAGTGGAGCAGGATATTTGCTTTAGTCATCCATGTTGCTGAGATCACGCACACAAAGGAAGAGGAAATTCATGTCTGAAGGTCTTGGAAAGGTTACTACCGTCATTATGACAAAAATGTAAATTAGTTGAGAAATATTGAATTCATCCCTACGAATACAAACAGAACAACATGAGCCATTCGTGTGACGTGTTCTACAAACTAAAGCTCAGTATATACACAAATACTGTGAGCCAAGGTAAGGTATTGTCCCCTCCCACCCCTCCTCCCCAAGAAGGTGCAAAGCCGTTGAATAGCAGTCCTAACTGTAGTCTAGTATCATGTATTGCAATAGGGGAATTATCTTACACATTACATCAGAGCCTATCAAGGTGAGCTAAAAATCATGCAGTATTTTTTTCAAGCTATCTAATAAACACAGTCTTTATAGTTAAAAAAGTGCTAGAACAGATATATTACAGTAGAAGGATGCTCTGACTCCACATCATATAGTAGTGACTTTACATTTTTGTAATCCTGAAGCCTGAAAGCCTCTCTTGTCAAGGGTAAACTGATTCCTAGAGCTGAGCAAAGAATTACTACGTGAATTCAAAGTCGATCTTCCATTGCAAAAGAGGAAATTTCATTAGATGCAAACCTCCTCACATGTACTTGCTCTCAGAGTTTGTTAGGCTCTTCTGTTAGCTCTATTTAGAAACCCGAAGCTACATTTTTGCTCAGCTGCCACCAGCCATATGGTAATGTTTTCTTTTCATAGCTAGATGAGCACAACTTACTGTATTTCTCTTCTGAATAGCTATGGGAAGTAAGGTGTAAAGTGATGGGAGGAAGGCACTAGACTGGGACTTGAGAGGCTCAGGGCCAGACCTGGCCTCCTCCCTAGTGACCAGATATACCCTCAGAGGTCCCCAGCCACCTTTCTTGCACATCTACACTTCCCTGGGCACCTGGGCTCTGATCTCTCACTCCTCCTCATCCCCTCCTCACAGATGGAGGGAAATAACAGTTCCCTCCTGTTTCACTGAGTTATGTGAGGATAACTGAAATTGCAAGATGTTAAACTACGGGAGTAATTGAAGTGCATACATCTCAGAGTTTTGTTTTAAAATGAGCTCTCCACGCATTATCATCTGCAAGCTTAAGGGGGGTGGGGGAGAGCATCTTCTTTAAAAGGGTTTGTGGCAGACAGATCTGTCAGACTCAACCGTCTTGGCTTACATGTGGGGTCTTGCGCACAGCTCCACTTGGGGCTAGGCAGGACTCAGTGTCCTTGCACCCAGCTGAGGAACTAAGAGTAAGATGGCTTGTTGCCATCTGCTCCACAAAGAGGAGCTCCCGAAATCCCTGAGAGAAATAACAAACGTGTAAGCGGGCCATCCTGGTGGGGCTCTGCAGAGCGTGCACGTGGGTTCTTGCAGTGGAGACATGGGAGGCAACCAGACCGATACAGACACAGTAAAATGGCACTGGGGAGAGAGAGGCGAGCTCTCTCTGCAAAAGTAGTTGAGGCTCCCAAGCCACTGAAATGCTTCAGACTCTTAATGAGCAAGTCTGTCCATCAGGGGTTATTTATTTATGTAGTTATTAAAAAAAGAGGGCAACTGAAAAGAAGGGAGATTGGGAGTGTGTGAGCTGGTTTGGACCTGGGAGGGAGCGTTCGCTCAGGTGCAGGCAGCGCAGGGATGGGGAGGGTGCCCGGAGGCGAGGGCGGCCAAGGCACCAGTTCTGTAAAGTGATGCTTGCCTGCCCTGAAGTGAGCAGAGGGAAGGGCTGAAACCCCAGGCCATGCTGAGGGGAGCGACCAGTTGCTCCTTCAAGCCCTGTTTTAAATGAGGCAGTTGCTTGTCCCAGGTCAGATAGAGGCGGAGGGCTGGTGAGGGAAGAGCCCTGCTGCAGACCCATCGCACAGAGGTGCGGCAGCCTAATTACCTAATTGTATGTACTCGGCACTGACTCCAGCAAAAGCAGAGCTGGGCAAGCGCCAGGAGCTTTGAAAAAAATCCTATCTTAGTACCCTGAAATAATAGTCCTTCCCAGCTGGAAAAGCAGCATGAGCAGTCTCACAGAAGTGGGTTTGGAGCAGAGCTTAGAGGAAGGAAAAGGCTCCCCCTCAGTCTCCAACAAACGCCGTTTCCCCTCTCCTTTGAGTAACCATCTTCGTACCCCGTCAGGGTTTCAGCAGTCACATTGAGTGATCACACAGTGTTCAAACTCCTCCAAGCCAGGATAATTCCTTAGCAACACGGTCTGGCTCCAAGGCTGGAGAGGAGCGGAGTAAGGAATGCACCCGCAGAATGGAGAGGAAGAAAGGCACCGGGTTGGGGCAGGGGGAAGAACGTCCTGCCTAAAAATAGCTGGCAGGATTTTATTCGGGTTGCAACAAATAGGAACACGCATCCCAGACCTTTAAATCTGGGCTGTGCTATGCTATTAGGGAAAACAGCTTTCAGAAGCTGGCACTCGCAAACCAAGTTTTAAAACACGAGAGAATTTTTAAGAGCAATGAATGCTTGGAATGATTTGTTTCTCCATGCCAGCTGTTTCTACACCAACTTTACTACAATATTAGAAGTGATTGAAACTAGTTAAAAAATCTCTTTTGGTTTGTGTCAGCTGGTGCCTTCAGGATGTCACCTTGAAACTGCGGGATGGTCAGAATATTCCAGTTTACCACTCCCCGGCGGAAAGCATCGGTGTGCAAGAAGGCTAAAAATCAAAGGCAGCTGCTTCTCCACCTCCCATCAAGCCGAAGGAGCCATTAATTGATTGCATCCCACTGCGTCTGTGAATGTACACAAGTGACAATTTCACTTAAGTGGCTGCTCTCAAGACAATTTCCTTTCTAAGATTGACCTCATCATTGTCATAATTGTAATTTCTTTCTTTTGCTGGTTTATTCATGTGTTCAGCAGAAGCCTAAAATAAATATCTTGCAAAAGACTTGCTGTTTCAGAGAAGTTGTGTTATGCCCTGTGTGTGTTGGTATTATGAATTTGAAATAGATTAAAAAACTGCCAGGAAACTGAGCTTTTCTACAATTGCAGATCAAAGTCAGGACAGCTGGGCTGCTCTGTCATGGCTAGAAGACAAAGTCAGCTTCTCAGTGCGATTCCCTTGCTGCTTTGGTTTTCCTCCATTTCTCAACAAGGCGTTACCTAAAGCAGGAGGGACGAAGCAGCAAAGGTGAAGCTCAGCAGCAGCCTTCTCCACTGCTAATAAGTCACTTCTCGGGTAGATTTGCACCCTCACAGTTATCATTAAAAAGCTCATGAGATAGCAGAGGCCACTCTTCGTACCTTATGAATTCCAGGAAGAGGCTTCCTACTCACACTGCTCGTGCTGACGGTCAATATAACAGAAGAAGCCACAGTTTCACACGAGCACTGCCTGACACAAGTTCGGGAGAGCACCTTCACTCTCCCACTTCTGCTTAGGGAAGAAAATACTCAGGAGGTGCAGAACAGGTAAAACACCGCCACAGTTCAGTCAGACTACAACAAAAAATTTTGATTGTGCCTAGATTCTGTCAATGCGGCAGCTCAACCAACAGAGGTAGAGAATTGCCCATCACCAGGAGCAAGTTGAGGAATAAGCAAAAAAAACCCAATTCCCCCCCCCACACACACACCAAAACTGCATATTCTAACAAATTGCAAAGCCTAAGACACAGTCTGAGATGGTGAAGAGACACAAGTAACTGTCCTTTCTTCATGCCTTGAAGTAATATGCAAGCCACTAAGAACGTCCAGAAGAAAGAGTATCTTGGATTTATTGTAACAGAGCAGGTTAATCAAGATGCAGCTAGTGAAAGCCCAGAGCTTACATCACTCGATTCCTTTTTCCCCCCCTCCACCTCAACATCCAAATTTGAGTCCTAGAAATCCACCAAAGGCACAGGCAATGCAAAGCTTTTCAAGAGTAACGATTATTAGACAGAGAAGCGAGAGCTGGAGCAAAGAATCATTAAAGACCAGCGAGCATTTTCCTGCTCAACAATGACCCAGCAAACCGGGCGAGGTGGCTTTTGAACAAGTCTGAAGAGCAAATGCCAAAGCAAATGGAAGGAGATACTAAAGGACCACAGCAAAAGCATCTGTGACAAACTATTTTAGAAGGAAACAACACACGTGAGCTTTTGTTTGGGATTCACAAAGAGCTGCCAGGATGAACAGCACCTGTGAGACCTCATCCAACCTCTACGAATGCCCACCATGCCAGGGGAAGGATTAGGATAAATCAAGGAGAGACAGTGCGTCCCAGCTTTAAGATTGAAATCGTTGCTATCCGTTTTCACAAAACAGCATACAAACCATGTGATTTTTAAAAACATTAGCCTTGCACTACTGCAGCCCACCTAGCAAGAAAACCACCTGGGAGACGTGGAGATCTCCTGGCCACCCAGTGTCTCAGAGCTTGGACAACTCTGGCTTTTGGTCACTGAAGAAGTTTAGTGGGGAATCAAACAGTTGACAAGGAAAAGCCAAATCAACCACTTCACATCCATCAGTTATCACTTCCCTGGCTGCAGGTTTGACTCATTACCAATCTCCAAAGAAGCTGTGGAGAGCAACCCCGGCCCATTCAGTCCCTCCCTATGTCTGTGCTAGGAGTATCTAGCACACGCTGCCATACACCTGCCTTTTGTCACTGCTGTGCGCTTCAGTAAGCCTGGGACCTGCAGTGGCTGCAAGGTGTACGAGTGTCCAGGAAACCTGACCACAGCCACCCCAGCCTGCAACACAACGCTCGCTCACCACCCTCCCGTCTCTTGAGCTGGCACGCACAATATCCCTGGTCCGGCTTCACAAATGGCTGCACCACAATACCACCGCCTGGCCTGGCTCTAACCCTGGTTATCCAAAGCCTGAGGGAGATAGCCCCACACAAACCTTACCAGTAACACGGGAGATTTTATTACCTTGCCTGGGGGAAGCAGAGCTTGCAAAGAGGTTCCGTCTCTCACTTTCCCCCTAGAGACCTAGCAGAGCATCCCTTTAACTTCAGGCATGCCTGATCATCCTAACCAACCCATGGGTTCATCAAAGCTGCGAGAATGGGCAGTATCAGCATATCATACTAACGTTTCTCTAAGTCAAATCTTTAAACCTGGAGAAGGAAGAAAGCAACGGATACAGCTGGAAGCCAGCAGATCACTGGAGCAGGACAAGAGAAAAGTCACGTTCAAATCCCTACTTTTGTTTTACTACTTAATAGTCAGTAAACACAGAATTTCTTGCCTCTTGACCTTGAAGAGCCTCAGAAGCCACTTCTCTGTGTTTGAGCTCTTATAAGACGCATGTATTCGAAGGGAGAAAAAATCAGCAAGCTAGTGCATTCAGTGTTGAGCTACTTTGGCCATGTGGCTCCCATTAAATAGACCACAGGCCACAGCAGCTGCTTTTGGAGAGGACACAGGTGCAGCCAAGAGAGCTGGAGCATGCCAGGAAAACGGAGAATGCAAAGGTTTCAAAACCACCAGCAGCTGCTGAAAGCCCAAATAATGTCAAGAGGGCACCCCTCTTCCCCTTGCAGTCTTTTCCACTAAGGTATGCTGGAGCAGATTAGGTTGCATTTAACTTCATTAGGTCATTGAAGCATTAATTAATTGTAATTATATTGTGTTGCATGTCACTAAATACCAGTCTGGACAATAATTTCATTTTTATTGAGAAAATATTCATCTTTTGATAAAAGACCCTAAAAACCCCAGTTAAACTCCTTTAGGAAGCCATTCTTTTCTAATCACGGAATGGTTAAGGTCAGGAGGGGCCTCTGGAGATCGTCTAGTCCCACTGCCTCACTCACAACAGGGTCAACTAGAGCGGATTGCCTGGGACTGCATCCAGGAAGGTTTTGAAGATCACCAAGGATGGAGACTCCACAACCTCTGGCCACGCTGTACAGGTGTTCAACCATTCTCACAGTAAAAAAAGTTTTTTCTGTGTTTCAGAAATTTCCTGTGTTTCAGTGTGTGCCCATTGCCTCTTGTCCTGCCACTGGGCGCCACTGAGAAGAACCTGGCTCCACCCTCTTTACTCCTCCCCCACAGGTATTTATACACACTGATAAGATCCCTCCCAAGCCTTCTTTTCTCCAGGCTGACAGTCCCAGGTCTCTCACCCTTGTTGACAGGTGCTGCGATCCTTTAATCATCTTAATAATTTTCAATATGTTAAATAATTTCTTTTAAATTGGCTTGAAAATTTGCATAGTTCCTTTTCCAGTTGTTGGTGTGGTTAAACCAACCGTCATCTTCATTACCTTTGCTGGATTGCGTGTTTGTTTCTTACTCTCTAGCTTGATTTTAATAGCTTCTGCCAGGCAGTCATCAGCCTCAAGGAAACTATCGAGGCAGCAGGCCGTTCAGGGCAAGAACTTAATTTACAACTGAAGAACAACAAATACTGCTTAGCAGACTGTTACAACGCTTGCACCTATTTGAGTTAGCCCTGACTAGCACACAGGGGCTATGTAAAACCCGATGTTTTAAAAGCACTAGCTTCAAAAAGGCTAGGCGGGCTGATGCGGTCCCTTTTGAGTATGTTTCTGCAGGCAGTAATACGGTTTCATCCAACTTGCGGGCCTGTCAGCTCACTTCCTAGCTTGGGCAGATGGCTTGCATTGCACGGGGAACATTAGTCATTGGGATTCATTCACCTCCCATTTAGAAATGAGGATGCATCCAGTTCTTTCCTGCCATTTGCCTGCATCCTGTCTGCTTGTCAAAGCAAAATAGTTTTCCTGCATGTTTTCGGCAAAATTTGCTACAAAGTTCCCTGCAGCATGACCCAGGCTGTCCTGTAACACCAGCAGCGATGGAGACCTGTCACGTTCTTGGTGTTACTTTGGAGGACACATGACACCCGGCTAAACACCTTTGGTTCATTTTATGTAGCACCAAGTGTATAGAAATACTAGCCTCGCGTCATTTCTTGACCAGTCTAATGCAGTTTCTGTTAATTGGCTTTCCTAGAAGATTTAGAAGCAAGCACCTTTATTCAATAACTTGTGAGAGACGGCCTTTGCCTCTCTTTGCTTGGTAAGGCCCATGACAAGAACTTCCATCCAGCTGGATCTCACGGGGTGCTGCTGGAAGGTGGCGGTCGGTAAGGCGATACCCCAACAGCTCAGGAGATTTTCCTGTAGGGATTAGTTAAAAGGCACCCGTGTAATTCAGTCTGTACACTGGGATTACAAATTAATTGAAGAGATGGGGTACACCGATTTCAACGCATCACCAGCTTAGCTGTGATTCTGATTGCACGAGTAAGCAAAGACTCAATGCAATTAAGTTCTCTGTGTTTACAGGAAAACAGATTATCCCTTCCATTAGTTAAGTTCCCTTTCCTCTCCTAATTTCGCAGTAACTGTCGTGGTCCTAACACTCTGCTTCACTTCGACAAATCCTAGCCTTTTCTTAATTAAGAGAGATTTTTATCACACCCATGTGGACTTAATTTTTTTTCTGTTTTATAAAGCTTCCAGGTTGTATTTTTACGAAACCAAAATATTTTACTTTACAGAGCTATACAGTTGTCAGCTGTCTTAGAACAGGAACAATTAATGAAATTAAGCAGTATTGGAAGAAAAAATACCTTTCCATAGAAGAGGAAATACTTGTCTCACCCAGCATCTAGTTGATGTTCCGACTTTCCCCGCAGGAAGTAACATCAGGCAAATAACACAGTTCTGGACACAGTGCACCTTGGAGGGGATATTAAAGTTTCACTGCTTCAGAGCACACATTTCAGCGTGATTTGTTAAACCTGGATTAATGCTGGTTTGCATCTGCTCCACCCTGTCCTGGATACACAGCTGTTCTACATTGCACACCATTCACTGGCATTTAAATACCATCTTTCCAACCCCACATCTTCAGGCAGGTCATTTCCCACCTGTCAGACATCTATAATAACAGTCCTAAGTTTATTTGCAATATATTCCTAGGTTTAGTATACACCAAGAAAAAAACCCAGGAAGATTTACATGGATAATGTGACTATTAATCCCTATGACAGCTTAATTCAGCATCTGTAAATACTGTATTGCGAAGATCTCTACAGTGCAAGCATATTGCTTTAGAGTGGAAAAGATTATTGGTGCATTTTATATTTGCTGTACAAATTGAACAAGTGTGTAATTCAGAACACTAAAATATCAGTAATCCTGCTATATGGGTGTTGAGAAAAATAACTTTACAGAAGTCCTTGGAGAAAAGCAAGGGCGTTTGAACAGGAGACTCCATCTAGCATATTACAACCCAGTTCCAGCAATATATTTCTAGCTGGTATTCGAAGCCAAGCGTGAGGGTGTACAGTCACCAACCACAGAAGAGTTCAAGTTGCAGTAGTCTGCGATGCCGCACTGTACTTGAGCTTTGCTATTGATTCCAGTCCTCATGCACCACACAAACTAGCGTAAATTTTGGAATTCTGTTTCAAATCAGTAACGCTGTCTTGAAGAAAGATTATTGTTTCTTTTTTAAAAAGTTATTATGTTTTAAAGTGTTTCCCAATGCGTGAAGAACAAAAGAGCCATCAGCTGTTCAGAAAACAAAATTTCATTTATTGTAAAGTTCCTGAAACAGTAAACACCTTATCAGAAGTACAATGAACTGGCACTATTTCTTTAAAATGTTGAACTTGTCTTCCAGGAACAGCACCTGGAATACGCAAGAGAGATCTTAAGCCATGGAATAGCTTGGTACAAGGCCCACCTTCCTCCCTGTCCCCTGCCAGCACCACCAGCAGAGAACGGGCAGTTAATTTTTATTTGCATTTCCTACCTAACTGCTCTCAAGATTCACCTGGTAGATCGCAAGCTGGAATTCACCCTTTTGTATTTAGGGACCCTCAAACGAAAGGTGTAAGAAACGAGACAAATCACAATGCAAATTCAGCTTTGGACAAAAAAAAAAAGATTATTTTATAGAACATTTAGTTTAATGACTATAAAATCTATAGCCTCTTGCTTAAAGAGGTGAACGTAACAACAAGAGGAGACGAGGCTTTGCTTTCAACTAGATGTCTGCTGTTTATTCCAACAGCTACAACGGAGGCATAGGCCTGGACCTACCCCGTCTATAGACATAGTTCACGTCTCTTGCATCAGAACCATAGAAATAACCATTCTCCAGCAATTTCTAAGAACACCTGCACTTCCATTCCTTTCAGCTTCCTGCATTTAAGCAAACAGCAGCCATGCTCCCAGCGTTACGAAGGCAGCCAGCAGGTGCCCAGTCTGGATAGCATTGCCCACAGGGTCCAAGGAGCCGACTCCTTCTCCGCAACCACCCCCTTCCCCACAAACACTTTAAGGCATAAGCAGCTTTTTTTTTTTCCCCAGATGAACTGCATATGTACACGCAGTCCTCCGTATTCATGGAGCTGCAGAAAACCAGCTCTTCTTCACAAGCTAGCGATTTGTTCCCAGTCTAAATGTGTTACTTCACTAGTAACTAAGCCTCTCAGAAACATTAACCTCGATAGCCCCTTTCTACAGCACAGGGTAAGAATACCTCAGTCTACAGCTTCACCCACACCTACAGTGGAACAGAAGTAGCTTCAAGTGTGTGGGACTGGCTGATAGTCCTGCAGTTAAACGTTATAGAAATTTTTTCCTATTATAGGGCCAATCCAAGATGCTTTGTTTATAACTTATACTATTAAACTTTCACAACTTTATACAAATTCTTAATGATGTTAAAAAACACTGTACAAAACCACCTTAAGGCACAAAAAGTTAAACAGAAATGCAGCCCATGTGAAGTCTCAAAGCAGCCAATTCAAGAGAAACTGGCCTTGTAATAAGTACATAGGTCATTTATACATGTTAAGCTTCATTGTCATACATTAAAAACAGTAAATACAGGACAAAACGTACGCTGCTCAGCATCTACTCTTTCTTTAGTACCAACTCCCATCCGAGACATGATCTGTGGTTACAAATAGGAATTGAAACAGCTTATAGGTCCCTCAAATGATTTGCTCTGGGCAACCATGAGCTATTACATTTAGATATGCAGATACAGCAACATAAATATGTTTTGTAAGGGTGGGATTTGAACATGCTTCAACTTCAGTGCTTTGCTCAACTTCACAAAAGCAAGGAAGCGTGGATGTGAAAAAGAAGTCAAAATGGCAGTGACAGAAGCTGGGAGAAATTTTAGTTCTGCAGAAATGAATTTCATAAGTTAATGTCCCTCCCCCAAGCAAATTGCCTCGGGCAAATGACTGAACAGTCAAAGAAAGATGCCCATGAGAAGTACTGTTGTACTTAAAAACTCTGAAACAGATCAGCACTGCAGGTAGGGTCAGCAAACATCCAGTAACTACTGTCCACCCCCAGAAATGCCCAGATAACACAGCTACTCTGTTGGCTCAAAGATTCTTGTTTAACTTCTACTAATGGCCGGCCAGAGCTACCCAAGAAAGTCTTGCACGGTAGCTTCTCAGTATGAGTCTGTAGGTTACTGTCTACAGGAGGGGAAAAAACAGCAAATGACTCATTTCTCCAGAGTATGAAAGGCATCTCTGCATTACAATATAAAACACATCCAAACTCAGTTATCCAAGTACTATTGGATGTTTTCTTATATGAAGGTCTTCAAGGAGTGAGAAGTTGCCCCACCTACATCAATGCTCAGTATGTAATTCCATAGGGGAAGAAGCCTGAAAGAACGGTTTAATTCAGGTGCAATTTTTCTGATGTGGCTTCAAGCGAAGGCAGCCAGACCACTGGCAATGAAGCCTTATGGAAAAATGCTCCCTGCCCCACTCAGTGTCACACCGCTTTTTGTTCGGTTTTCTTCTTTACTAGCGCTTTTTCCCCCTCCCTTACAGCAACGCTAATCAGATCACCCCAGGACTGCTTGCGTTATCAATAAGCCGTTTACTTTTGTGTGAAGGAAAAACTGTAATGTTAGCAGAGAGCACTGAACTCCTGTTCACTAAAAAGGGTAAGAACATTCTCAGTACATTTGAAACTAGGAATGTCTGTAGCAACATGGGAAGAAGGAAAAACTAGCTTAAGAGTTTCTATTCATTGTTGTACAGCAAGAAAACTTTTGTCAGGGTTTATTATAAAGGAACAGCATAAGGAAACCAAATAAATAGTTGAATAGTTAACAGTATGCAATATAATAGTACTAAACTTCAATTACATAAAAATTAAACTTTGGAACAGCATCAATATGAAAGATTTCTTAGGAAACTAGGACTCAGTCCAAGATCCTCAGACCTGTACATTGCAAAAACCAGTCAATTTTGATGCCCAGTTGGTCCCAGCTTTGCCCTCTGAGAACTGTGACCCATCCACACAGCTCCCTAATCCCTCTCTGCCCCATCATACACATGCTGTTTTTCCAAGTGTCTAAGGGAGAGCGAGTGGGAAGCACGAGGTATGAGTTGTGCTTCATTGTTTCAGAGGAAGCGGTATCTTCTTCCTCATCTGATCGTTATATTGAACAAGGTTATGCAATTTAGCCCAAGGATGCTCCTTTCTTCCTTAAAGCAGCAGTTAGAGGAACAGAAAGAAGGCAGCAATGACCTCATGCTCCCAGAAAAACCCCAGCTGGGTTCTGGGGGAGGTGGAATTGAGGGTTGATTTATCATTAGTTGGACGAACTGTCTGATCTAACACGGTGAAGTCAGTGGAGAGAACTTCAACAACTTCAGCAGAGCTACATCAGACCCTCCGTCATTCGTTTCTCCACTCACCAACACTGTGCAGTCACACGGAGCTGGATTCTATTAGCACATCTCGCCCAACGCAGGAGGAGAAGGGAGGGATCTCTGCTGGCTCTCAAGAGTGACTGACTTAAGCAAATTCATCACCCTCTGGAGCAGGACTTTTCTGTGCTTCCAAACAAAGGAATACCACCACTGTGATCTGGAATCGTTCCCCGATAGATTTCTTTACCTGTGGGACACGTGCATCTCTTCCTAGAGAAGAGCAGCTCACTGTTTGGCTATACGCCAGATGAGTCTGGGTCTTTGACTTGATGTAAACAAAGAAATATATACACAGTACAACTTTGAAATCTGTATGTCAAGCCAGTTGATCAAATTCTCCTCTCATACAATTTTTAGATCAGTAGATAGTTCCACTGAAGTCAGGAGTGCTAAAAGGTGTTTGAGGAAAACCCAGCACTATGTATTTGCATTAAACGCCAAAACATATCCTAAAATACTCCTCTTGACATCTGTCACTGAAACACTTCCAATGTCAACTTCTCCAGAACACTGAACAATTAACAAAAACTCCGCTATCAAGCAACAAAAAAACGAATAAAAATTACAAACAAAAATAAGCTTTTTTTTATCTTTGTTAAATTCCTGTCAGCCACTTGAAAACTTGTTTATCTGTTCCATGAAATTAAAAACTTGGCACATTTTCCTTGGATGCCATTTATCAACATTTTCTTTTATCTAGAACATTTATTGCATATCAGAAATTCCCTTGGCTAGGATATTTTTATTTAGTAGAAAACACTGCTTTCCAGTTACAGCTATGAAGCTCCACACAGTTCAGTAAATGAATTCTCCTGGTATTTCTTGCAGTAAAGGTTCCTCAAATTTAAATCGTTTGGAAATGGCTTTCTGCTCCGTTACTTTTTCTTTTTCTGACTGCCTACATTGTCCCAGTGTATATGAAGCCACTACGATTAGTTCTTCTGTCAGTATTGATTCTTCCTCTTCAGTCTTCTCAGCATCTACTGATTTTTCAGAGGCAGAATCTGCATCTTTCTGGGTGACATCACTGGTCTCCCCTCCTGTACTCTTATTCCAGGCCCTGCAAGCAGGATTATCGCTTTGTTCTAACCATGGATGTTGAAGACATTCTTCAGCAGTTGCCCGGTCCCTGCAGAGGAAGGAAAGTGTTAAAACAAATGTCCAAATGAATTTGAAATTCAGTATCTTGCAGAAGAGATCCATACAAATTATTCCAAGCATATGACTGTATTAAAGACAGGCTGATAGAACTTAAAAAAAAGAAGTGCTGATAGCAGCTACCTTTTACCAAAAAAGACCAACAGCAGCTCAAGGAGATGAACTGCTAACATTTAAAATAGAGGAGTTCACAGGTCCTTAAATATCACAGTTTATGCTCCCATGTTGCCAACCAACTTTCAAAGCTTATACAGATTTTTTTTTTTTTAATATAGGAAAATTATCCAGTCCTTACATTCTTAAAGTATTCCCATAGACAAGCAGTAGGAAATTTCAACAGTTGACACGCCCTATGAAGAACTGGTGAGGTTCCACAGAAAACACCTCTTCTATTTTGAGACCTGGAATTTCCAATTTGCTGCCCATTGAGAAAAGCAGACTAATGAACCAGAAAAGAGTAAGGTACTCTACCAACTCATCAAGAATAAAAGGCTCAAAGCACAGTTCATTTAAAAGACATCAGCAAGGTACCTGTAAAGAAAGTCAGTATACTGTACCACATGCTACAATTCATATACAGTTTTCTGAAATGAATTTGAGTTTTAATTACTAACACTAGGACACATTCAGAATATGCAAGTTTGGAGGGAAATGGAGGACTTCTCTTTTCATATACATGGAAAGTAATAGCACAAAGAAATATGAATAATCAAAGTTCCCTTATACTTTAAAAATGAAAATGCCAGCACTTGCTACATTTAAAACGAACCCAGTCAGACATATTAGCATATACAATTGTGTATTTTACTTACTCGGGTTTCTTAACCAGCAGAGTTTTGATGAAATCCACGGCAGACTCTGATATGAGGTCAAAGTCTTCTCCAGAGTAACTTACGTTCATTTGAGATATATTTAAGAATGTTTCTTGTTTATCATCCCCTAAGAAAGGCGATATCCCTGTTAGCATAACATATGCCAGTACTCCAATGCTCCTAAATTAAAACAGATAAACAGAAAAGCAGTTTTTCAGGGTTTTTTTTTTTGTTTGTTTGTTTTTTAAGAAAAGCCTTTTCAGTAAAGTAAGTTATGATGACCATTAATTTGTTCAACTTACCACATGTCAGTTGCTGTACTGATCGGGTCATAACTCAGAATTTCAGGAGCTATTCAGGGAAAAAAACAAGTTTGATTTTTTTTGTCATATGCAGACATTATATTGTAGTCATATAGTGCAATAACGGGCACGTGGTAAAATTTAACATAAGCCATTTGAAGCCTGACAGTCTTTTGAAATAGAGATATTTCTATTCAAGTTATTTAAGTGATTACTATCATTCATTGGTTTTAAGTAAAAACAATTGTTTTCCTTTTATTGTCCTCTTCAGAAGCCAGGCCAGTCTCCTTCCCAATTAAGGAAGCTGTATAGAAATTTCTTATGGAAAAATGAGAAATATCCAACATTCCATGTTCCAGCACTGAAACCCATACTCATAAAGATATACCATACAACTTGAAGATTTTTCAAGTACATTTTCAAGGCCTGGAATGATTTGCTTTTAAAAAGATGAAATGGATACAAACCTCCACAAGCTACAATATTATATTCAGAGACTGAATATGTTATTCTGAACTTTTAATCCAAGTAATACTTGTCATCACTGCTGGTAAGAATCATCTAAAGTCTGTACTCATCTTCAACACAAGCACACAATTATCACTCATTAGACTGGCAAAGCTTACCAGTTCTAGCTTTTACAGCAATACCGCATCCAAGTAATAACCTGATCTTTCAACACAGTAACTACACAGCCAGCCTGGCATTCACCAAATTGAGGTAGTTTCTCTTTTCACTCCCCCAAAGCCTTGACAGTCCCCTCCTCAGGGCTACATCACTCATATAGTAACAACTTACCTACGTATTCTGGAGTTCCCATAATTTCTCTTAGTTCCTCACTGCTCTTCATTATTCTGGAAAGGCCAAAATCTACTATCTTAATGTCTCCCAGAGGGGACTTACTGGTTAGTAGAATATTTTGGGGCTGAAAAACAAAAGGAGGAGACTTTCAGGATCACCGAAATCTAATGTCTATGACACCATAATATTGCATAATTATTTTAGATCATGAGTAGCAATAATGCATTCTATAACAAGTGATACCCAGGACCATTTATTTGGGGTTGTTTCCCCCCCCCAAGGTGAACTTGAAGAGACATGTAGGCTAAAAGGAGTGGCAGGATTTTCTGTTTATAACAGAATCAAACATCTAACTTTATTAGCTTAGAACACATACAAAAGACATGCCAGTAGCTGTCATTTCACAATAGCATATAAATACCTTCACATTCGTACCTTTAGTCCTTCATGTCACCTTTTTAACTCCCCTTCCCTCCCTGCTTCCGTCCAATAGATGGTGTAAAATAACTCCTGTCGAAGGGTGTCCACAACCACCCCATCGTTTTAAAAAACCTGAACACATAAAACTGTTTTGACTACACCTGTTTAAAGAAAGTCTGTTGCAACCGACATCAATCTTGTTCAAAGTACAAACAAATGTATTACAGAATACTAACTGAAGAACAGTTTCAAAAAAATACAGCAGCCTGAAAAACAGGTTTTTAAGAGCATCACCTTTGGATAAACTTGTTTGGTCTGACGTCACTAGATCTTGGCTGTCATCCTTCAAAGCAACTTTGTGGTCATTAAGAAGTTCCTTACTATTTTAAATTGTAGCTCAGTTAAAAAAAAAATCTGAAAACTAACTTTAGACAACAGGACTTAGATTTTTTTGCAACTCAAGCATAGCCTTGCCAAAAAAAAAAAAAAAATGGTGTGACCCTCCCTGCCCCCAGGCCAATAGTCACATTGGGTTCTATCACATTGACTTCTATCACATTGACTTCTCTGAATGGTAACACTGACAGTTGACACTACAGTCATGCCTCTGGTGAGCCCAAGTTCCATGAAAATGATGAAGCCTTTATTGACTGAGAACCTGGATCATCTTGCATCAGGGTGGTTGAAAAGGGAGGAGGGCAAAGAGTAAGAACACCAAAGCAACCACTGACTGATAATCCCAACTGGATTAACACCAACATGCATACTTTTTCCCTAATCACTGAGCCATTCTCTCGTTCATCCCCTTGTCAATCATGAAGGCATGCTTTCACATGAACAGCCTCGCTTCTGAACACAGACATAAAACCGGGCAAGAACATTTTAAAAACCTTGGGCCAGTTCTCCTTGCTGCAGGACCTAAATATAGTCAAGTTCTTTCAGTCCTGCAAAGTTAAACCATGGTATTTCAAACTAGCTCCATGATGTTGTCAATCTATTTTCTGTTTGTAAATCCACGCATTAAGAACAGCTTTTTTTTTTTTTTTTGCTTACAAACTGGGATCTGGTGGCCATACAAAGGCTTTTGGAGCTGCGCATTACCATATGCTTTATAGTTCACATTTTTTATTCTGTATTTGTATTAGAAAAGCAAACATCCAAAAAAGCTGACGACCATGCCTCCCTAATTAGCCTCTCAGATGTTCTTCCCAGTGGGAAATTTAGTTACTTTCTGAAGAGGCAAATAGAAAGCATGAGAAAAGCATTTGTTCTCTATATTTAAACGAGGAAAAGTTTTTAATGGAAACATTTCGTGAAACCCTTAAGCTCTGTATTATAATATTTTAGTAGACAATGTAGTTGCCAGAAGTTTATTATTGCTCTCCTGGTAGCCATTCTAAAATGGGCCTTTCACTCTTACTGCCAAGCAGTTTGTTAATAGGCAGGTATAGAGTATCCAGGTTCTACAGAACCTATTTTGATTATAGCCTTATTTCTTAATTTATGGGACTTGCATTGCTTATTTTGGGAAATAAAGTGTGATGCCAGTTTAATGTCTACTCTTTTAGTGACCGTTACATTCTTTTCCACCTCCCCCTCCACTGCAGTAAGGCTTAAAGGTTCCAATTTAGATCCTCTTATGTTGTGCACTGAACAAAAACATAAAAAGAAAAAAAATACCTGACTAAATGGACAATTTGAATGGATGTACTTTACTACAAGATTGGCATGTGCACAGAAACCACATGATGTGGCCGCATGAGTCTAGGCCAGAAACAGGTACCTTTGGAAAGATTATGAAAACAAGACAAGTAAAAATCGTATTTTTCCAAGCATACTGTCAACAATCAGAAACTTGGGTTTTAGGAATTTGAGAAGTTGGTTATACCTTTATCATCATATTAGAGTAATAGCAGTGAAAAGCATAATTTGTCACTGCAAACATTAACCAGTCTTACATTTTTCACTTAAATTGGACTAAAACACTGTCACATGAAAGAGCATAGCTTTCTTGACGCTATGAACGTCAGTGCAAAGGCCAAACCAAGGCAATATATACAAAGATCTGGTCTCATCTAGAAACTTATTCTGCAAGTCGCACAAATTGTTTGTAATAAGTGTACTTAGTAAAACAGTATACCTTTCAACCCTACCTTGCCAGCAGGTTTTGGAATCTTGTAGGCTGACTATATAATGGCAAAATCCGTACATTGCAAATTTGCCATTATTCCAGAAGCTTCTGTGAGCCTCTGGCCCTAATATTTCTTGTATCTTTAGTTGGTTTCAAAGAGTATGACTAAGGACACATAATAAAGGTCGTGTTTTTAAACTAATCGATGCCTCACCTTAACCTGCAACATTAATGAGCTTAGGTATCTAACTTTATGTTACTATAAAAAAAATCAGATCCCTGATTTTAGAAGAAAAGACAGGAATTATCCAAGGAATAATGGGCAGAAGCAGGAAAAACAGACTAGCTGGGATACCTCAGCTACATTGTGTGTAAAGACACTAGAGTAGGCTGATCAGTCTGCCCTAAAAAAAAAGTTAAAGGACTCCCATATCTTTAAGCAATTGAAATGGAAGACCAGAATTTGCTTGGGGGTTGGGTTTTTTTGGTCAATGTGTACAAGTGGAAAAAAAATGCAAGAGTCACTAAAAGAGTAGACATATTAGACTGGCATCACACTTTATTTCCCAAAATAAGCAATGCAAGTCCCATAAATTAAGAAATAAGGCTATAATCAAAATAGGTTCTGTAGAACCTGGGTACTCTATATACCCTGCCTATTAACAAACAAAAGCTTTGCTTTAATTGCTATAAAGGTTTGAACTCCAGACTAAACTGTTTGCCTTGAAAAATTGATATTTTAATTTTTAACTCTTTTCTTAGTTTCCTGGGTGTTCCTTTAGACAAGGAATACTACCTCTATTAATACTACACTTCTGCATAATAAACATTCCACCTTAATCCACCTAGAAAACTCAGTTGAGAAAATTAATCTGTAATGTTCTTGTAACAGGCCACTTCTTTTGTAATTGCATTAGTTTGCTTTCTGAATATTGGTGTAAAATGACACCCAAACCAATTTCAAATAATGATTTTGCTAGTTGTCCTCACTGAACACATCATCTTGAAAACAATACAGAAGAAGGAAGGGAAAAGTTGTCTGTTGGATAACCAGAGTAATATATATTATAGGAGAGTGCTGCTCGGAGCAGCCATTCTCCCAGACCCCGGGGCTGTGTAAGGCTCTTTACCTATCCCCGCTGTAGACAAGAGGCAGCTAGTCCTTCCTCAACCCCCATGCCTTTTTACATTCTCTTCCATTCCCAACTACTTTAAGCTTTTACCAAACACCAATTCAAGATCAAGTCAAACAGCAAATGAAAACACAGAGAAAGGACTCTTCCCTTACTCAGCAGCTTTTATGCACCATTAAGAGGAGATGAAAGACTCCTGACTACAATCTACGCACACCCTGCAAATTAAATAGCATCAACACAATACTGTCAAGTGATACTTAATTTGCACTCAGTAGCATTATATTTGCTCTTTCTCCAAGTCAAAACTGGATTACATGATTGTATTTTGCTATTATAAACAAGCCATATTTCAACCATCTTTCAGGAGAACCATGCTTTTGAAAAGAAGCGATCAGGTGGCAACCTTGTTAAGCCACATCAAAATACCCCATTTTTTTCTGCAGTGTTTAGTCTCATAGGAAAAATCTTGCATCTAATAAGGGGGCAGACAGAAGTTAAAGCAAGCTAGCTGTCAGTGTCATAGATCTGGTTGATTAGATTTATAATATAAAACTACAACAACAAGCTGATAATCACATACTGACAACCATTTTGACTTAATTTCTTCTGGGCATAGAGCCTGACTTTTTTGAAGGTGCAACATATGGAAAATTGGATGGACCTTTCCAAAGGTATTTGTACCAGACAAATGAAAGGAGAATCATAGAATCATCCATCTTTCAGGAGAACCATGCTTTTGAAAAGAAGCGATCAGGTGGCAACCTTGTTAAGCCACATCAAAATACCCCATTTTTTTCTGCAGTGTTTAGTCTCATAGGAAAAATCTTGCATCTAATAAGGGGGCAGACAGAAGTTAAAGCAAGCTAGCTGTCAGTGTCATAGATCTGGTTGATTAGATTTATAATATAAAACTACAACAACAAGCTGATAATCACATACTGACAACCATTTTGACTTAATTTCTTCTGGGCATAGAGCCTGACTTTTTTGAAGGTGCAACATATGGAAAATTGGATGGACCTTTCCAAAGGTATTTGTACCAGACAAATGAAAGGGAAACCTTTAGAGATCCAAAGGTGAAACTAATAGTATAAGGAAAATATTTTAGCAATAATTTGTAAACTTTTTGATATTGGCAAACACCTTGCTTAACAGCAATACACTTTGCACAAGTCTTCCAAATGTCACCCCACAAAACCAAGTATTTAGTAAATTCCATGGTGCTGTAAGCCACTAGGTAAAGCAGCATGAGCCATACTATACAACAGAAGATGGTTTGAGGCCAGTGGGTTAATAAACATGCAGCCAAACCCAGCACCCAACTTCAATTGGAGTTCCTTGAAAAATGGGCCTTTTTTTAAAGTCTTGCAAGGCACATGGGTCAATCAATCTTCACAAGTCATGGTTTTTAATCCTACAGTTTCCATCATCTTTATTTGCCAATATTCTGAAGAATTCCCAAGACCTTATCTTGCAAAAGACCGATAGTCTATCATGAAAGTAATCACACTGCAATTAGGACTCCTATTAAGATCCACTTTTCAAAAACACGTTGCACCCTGCAGTAACGTATAAACATATTAAACTCAAACACCGGACAATTTACTCTGCTAATTAACCTTCGTAAGCCAGCAAAGCAATGCTGGATCTTTCAGCGAGAACTGGATATGCTAAATTTTATAACAAAAACTTTCCAACTGATCGGAAAACTTAAGTAAGCTTTTTCTGAACTTTGAAAAAGCTACCTGTCTGCAAGCTGTAATCAACACCCCAGTCTACTTTTGCCATTGAGTACTGTAGTCAAATAAAGCACAGCACATTTCTGATTACAGATACCCAACTGATAGTGCTAAGGAACACCACAGCTTTAACTACAAACATGTATGAATATATACTGTCCACAAAAGACATGTTTTAATTTTACACACTTTGCTTCAAGGAAATTCAATGACCAGCCGTAGTAGAGACACTGAGTAACTTGTATAAGCATACTGGAACTTTAAGGAATTCTAACTGCTCATTTTCAGTCCTTCTGAACACTTCTTCTCACATCATTTGCTAAAAATTTTCCATTAATTATTTTAGTACAATTATTAATATTCTATGGGTATGACTAAATCAACGGGCTACAGAAAGTTTTAAAGGATTGCACAGATAATTTGAATAAATGGTTGGAAAACCAGGCAGGTGAGGTATTTGTCTGCAAATATTACTCATTATCTGCTTTAGCTGATGTGCTAGGTTATATATAAAGTATGTACAGCTTGATACTGGAATCTACTGTTAGCTTGTACTACTGCCAAAATGCAATTAAATACAAGTAAGGATCTCAGCAACAGAACAGAAGAAACAGGTAGCGTCTTACTACATACTTAGTAAATATGGGAATTGGATGTGTAAAAAAGAATTCAGATAATTTAATACAAGATACTTTTATACTGCCTTTATTAAGTAGTTCAACCTCAAAATGAGATAAAATTGCATCTTCCATATGAGTGTATGGATGGAAGCTAAAGAAAAGTCATTGCAGCTTGCTGCCAATGGGAGACAATATTTTTCTGGATCCCTGTTACAACTCCCTTCTTAACCATAAGCAATACTCCGGATTTCGTATGATGGCAACTGTACTTTTCTCTTGATTTGGGTCAAAACTATTTTTCAGTAAGAACAAATATTTACTCCAGTAAATCATAATTGATATACCAATAGGGTGGTGGCCAACTGGTTGGCAGTAAATGACAAACACTTAAATTACGTTTTAGAGTAATTAAAAAAAATACTGAAGTGTTATAAATATATTTAACACGTTAATATACTGTTTACCAGTCCTGTGTGAACACTTCATTCTGAAACATTACACTTTATACTACCAGTGTCTCTGCCATCCTTCTGCTTCATTAAAACTCAAGTCAATACAAAAACCAACCTGTTTTTTAATGGCCATATAATACCCAGACATTTTTACTGCACTTTAAAAATGAGCCAGGTCTTACCCAAAGAACTAATTCGCAATTTAAGGTGTAACACAAGTCCACTTTTGACTTCATTACATTTCACTTAATCAAACAAAGTTTATATGTGACATAATCATAGAAACTCCCCAAAAGGCTTGCAACCCTGGTGCCTACTGCATCTCAAAGGTTGAATTTTACCATTCGAGGAATAACTAGATAAAAATTGTGTTAATTACAAATTAGCATTAGTATGACATATAACCAATAAGAAAGTCAGCAGATAAGACATTAGTAAGAAAAATACAGCAATCTTACCTTTAAGTCAAGATGAACCACATTGTTTCTGTGCAAGAATGAAACTCCTTCTAAGATCTGCTTCATAAGTCGTTTAACATCTTTTTCTTTGAAGGCTTCCTCTCTTTCAGCCACACACTGGTCAAAGATTTCACCTCCAGCAGCGCTATGGAACAATATGAATTTTATTATTTCAAAGACTAAGTTAGAGCACCCGTTTTGTTCTACTTGCACTATTTTATTTAGCGTAAGCAAGATCAGCAGGCAGTAGCATCCAATAGTGATATTTTCAGTTATTAAACGTTTGGCAAGCTTTTACAGCCTAGGAAGACTTCTCTGCAGTATGGCAGCTTTGGAGAGAAGCAAAGATCTTAGTAATTTAGGTTAGAGAATATGAATACTACAGAAACTTTGGGGACTATTTTGGAAACACTATTGACTGTGCTTTAAGATGAATGCCACATTTGTTTGAGGGCAGCGTTTACATAAAAGATGTGCCTTTTGCCATTCCTATGAAACTACATGGAAATTTGGCCAAGGTAAGCCTTTGTAAACACAAAGCAAAACAGCCTCACCCCCAATCCTCCTCAAAACACTTTGCACATACTCAAAAGACTAAATGTGAAGTTTATAATTGAACTGTTTGTGAAGTCTCTGGTATACAGGGATGCATTAAGTTTCTAAATGGCTTTCATCTAAAAATACTTCTGAAAATTTTAGCTCTCAGCTTGCTTCCTTATCTTTTGTTTGTATATGTTTAAATAAATGACAGAGTAACAAACCATTTAAAAATAACTACAGATGAATGAATGTTTTTAAAGTACTCTGAAGCCACATGCAGCACCATCTCCGTATAACAGCGACTCTAGAGAACTAAAATTGTTTTACAACATAACCACATAGCATCAGAAGTAAAACAAGCAGAGCAGAGGCTCCATCTTAAAACAAGAGTGGGCATAAGGACATTAGGATGGAACCATTTTGCATATGGATTGTTGAAATACTACTTAGCAACGTATAAATGAAATCAACACATACACACTTTGTTCTGCATGAAATTCTATAATCATCCCTTAGTGAAAGATGGTGAAACCCCCGAGGACAGTATCTTCTCCAGTTACCCCAAACTGTGACATGCCAAACCTGATTTTGCACAATGTTAATCTTTGCAGTGTTAATCTTTATTGATGCATAGCCGTCTATTCTGCCTTTGCTCGCTCTTTTCTAATAAGTTCTATTACCTAGGCAATGCAGAAGACAGACAGGCATATTCAACAAAGATGTAACAGCAAATGAGGGTTCTACAAAAATGGTGCATTTGGATTACGTACCCCCAGAAAAAGAACACAAATATACTCAGTCTTTCATTTTGTCAATACTAACTTTGCTGCTACAGTCTTAGCACCTGAAAACACCTCATGGTTTATAAAACTTTTTGCCCTCCCAGATATTCTCATTGCTGTTATTTAAAATTCTCCCTGTGGATTGTCTTACAAGCAAAAATAATTTAAGAGGGTACATCTTAACATTTTCTAAAGAGTTTTATATTTCTGTTCTATATGCTGGTGTACTGGTACAGAAGTATAATTTGATTTATTAAACTAAGATTTTCTTTTAAAAAAAAGTCCATTAAATAATTATTTTTCTTCATCCTTTATCAATGATGATAGAACAAGAATGAGTTTTCATCAAAGGAGTATTAGTACTTTAATTCCTCTAGAAAAATTGCATATGCCTGACACTATCACATCTTTCTTCAGCACATTTTTATTTAATTCAAGGAAAAAGTTAGTAATATTTCAACTTTGAACAGGACTCAGGTATTAATGACATGTTAAAAATTTACACTGTATAGTGCATTCTAACATTTTAAAACAAATTCTTTTAAAAAGCAACATCAATTGGATCTTCAAGATAGGAACAGAAAAACATCTACTCTAATCAATAAATTAAACTTTCTACTTTAAGAATGCTATAATATGTTGCTTGAAAGAATGATTTAATTCCTTGTAGCAGTAATTTATAATGAACATACAGTGATAAGATCTACTACCAAAATTACTAACACGATGTGTTTTACAGCAACAACCCTAGGATTTTGCTGATATAGCTCTGCCACCCAAAATAAGCAAAACAGTACTTCTGCTATTTAATTTTATGTGAAATAGGATTTATACCCTAAAACTGCTGTTGTCAACCAGGGAACACACTTAATTTTTAATAGACCCAGCTGAAAAATCAGCAGTAGGGAGGGCCTTATAAAGCCCTGTTTGCTATATGTCTATTTGGTAGACATCTGTTACAATTAAGTCACACTAATAAACAAATTAACATTGAAGTAGGCACCAAGCTAAAATGTAGGCTACCTAGAATTATAATAGTACACTTAAAGAATTCAAATTAAATGTGTTAAAATTCAAGGCAATAAATGTTGAGGCTCACAATGTCCCACCACTGAAATCAAGAGACAGCACTACCATAAGTGAGGAGAAAACCCTCGATCCAGAAAACTTCTTTTTTTACAAGGTATTTAAGTACCTCCCAGTACTTCTGAAGATGCCTAGGTTCATCAGCATTTTTAAGAGTGAGACAAGCAAATACAGCCCTTGCACATACATACCCACTTCATGACTTATGAAACAGCCATTCTCAGCTACCATAGACAAATATACTTAGCTTTACAAAAAGTTTCACATGGAAAGGTGGTTTCACATGCAATGTTTCATTTTTCGGTCAACTTTGCTATTTAGGATGCAGATAGAACAACTTCTTCCAGACAATTCATTCTACCCCAAAATTACCACATTCAAGCAAGTAACTAGTGACCCTTTGCAAGAACACGAGGAAATTTGTTACTGGAAGACTGTTTCATGTATTGTTGCTGGGGAGTGAGCTTAATTGATTCCCTTAAGCAAAACAGACAGCTAGCTGTGAGCCAACCCAGTCACAAGCGGTTGGAAGTACAATGTCAAAATGAACTCCAAAACAATTCTCCCGCACATCTATGCCAAATTCTGCCAAGCTCCTTAAAAATACTTTCAACTCAGTTATTTTGTATTCCCTAGCTAAAGTTCAGGGAAAAAAATTTAATCAAAACACAGAAGGAATTAAAATACCTGCTAGGAAAGTATTATGGGCATGTCATTGCTATGATTTCTGTATACATGCAGACCGGGAGTTCTCTGGTCTTTGTAACGTTTACCCATTTTTCCTCTAAGAACACATCTTCCATTAAGCTGTAGCTTTTCTAATGGTCATTATGAAACAACAATTTTGCAAACCACTAGGCACCCCCACCCACCTCCACAGAAAATGTTCCTAGGGGATAAAAGCAAGGAATTGTCCTTAGGACAAGAAAGTCTTTAGGAAAACAAGCCATCTTAATCTGAAAAAAATGGATAAGGAAATATTTAAGAGTGCAATGTTTTGAAATCCAGTGTTACTTAGAATGTATTATTTCTCTAGTACACACTCCCTTAGCTAAGCGTACGAAAAAACGCGAGACAGGAATTCTTTCAAAACTTAACAGCTATGGCAGCCAGAATTCTTTAGCTACTTTAGTTTGTTTATGAAAGTACTGTTGTGCTATTAACTTCTCTGTAGTTTCAAGTGAAATTCAACTGCTCTTCATCAATGAAGAGCATGCTAACATTTTATTACTGCTTATCAGCATAAATGACCTAAAAGTCAGTTGGAAGTCTGCAGCACTAATCTTGGGTTACAATTACGTTGACTTTAAATTCAACGGAGACTGCTTCCTTCAAACATATCTTAACAATGCACTGTATGGAATTCAGCATCCTACTTCTTTCAAGTGCACTTACAATACACTACCACAGTCATTTAGCGTATCATTAGAAAAAGACTGAACAAATCCTCAGAGTACAGATGTGTAGATAACAAGTTCCTAGAATACACTTAGTTTCAAATGCTGAGTGAGACCATATACAGCCTGCAAGGGCCAAAAATTTACTTCCTGAATCTTATGCTCTGTCAAAAGCCTTTCTTGAAATGGTTAGCTTTGGAAGATAAATGTGCTTTCTGTACACAGAGCTTATATTACAAGAAGATCACACCAAGGTGGTTGTAACACTATCAGCAAAGGTTCACATTCACTACGCCCTTTCCTTGGCTAGGCATACCATTAGATAGTAAGCAAGCAAGTGAACTTACTGAGAACTTTTCCAGTGTAAGGCTACCATAACATACCAGCATCCCCAAAGACTGAGAAAAGTGTAAATCCGTATCTGATGAGAGGACATACGGGAAGAGAAGCATCCAAATGCATTAAGTTGTGGATACCGTTCTTTTCAGTTCTTGGCTCTCAGACAAATGCATCTGTCTTTTTTTTTGCCTTAGCCTTTCCAATCAGGCAGCCCAAGAACTGAATGAAACACAAACAAAAGGTAACTAACTCCATTTGAGAAGTTTTCCTCTAAAACTTTTTGAAAAGTTCCAGTCTTGATTTGAGACTACCACCTAGAACAACTTTGTGAATTGCTCTAATAGACAAAACACACACATTGGAGCAGCAGTTATTTCTGATTACAGTGGTTTTGCTTCAAGATCTATCTGTTGAATCCCATGCTAAATGAATTGTTTCCTTCCACCAGACTCCTACTTTAACAAGTCACACCTCCAGTAAGTAGGACAATAAGTAATGTCAAGACAATACAAGTAGTAACATTATCCAGGTCCAAATAACTATAAGTGAAAAAAGCACTTCATGCAGCATATCTAATAAACCCTGACCATGTCTTCAAGATGATAAAGACAACTTTTTTCTTTTTTAAATTAAGCATAACAAAAGTCTACTATACCTACACAAGACTGTGGCAGGTAATTACTCAGTTCAGAAGCTCTTCACAGAAAAATACTTAACGGCTTAGATTTTGACATTACACATACAGGTTTCTTTAATATCCGACCCACTAATATCATCTATCCCTTCCACCAATGTGTAAACATATGGTGATGAACACTTATAAAAACACCAGTTCTTAAGCATCAGATGCTCTGTTGCTAGCTCTGTCAAAAGAAATTGGAAAAAGGCAGGTGGGTTGCATACAAATATTGAGCCCAAAAGTTATAAAAGAAAAAAGCAAATTTGATATCTGATGTGTCAGGTTTTCCAGACTGTATCTCTACCTTTTTCAGTAAAAGTCCAGTTTTGTTTTTCATTCATTCCATTTTCACTGATATATAGAAACATAACTGACCCACAGATTAATTCCAGGCTTTACATACTACCCTTTCAGACTTACTTACCCTTCAACTCCTACTCAAATCCTCTGTTTGAGGTCTTATGCCAACAAACAGAATTCAGAGACTGTTGTCAGGGTAGATGCAGACAGCCACCAATTTGCTATCCTACAGCTGAAGCCAACACTGTAATGCCTCATTGCTTCCCATCGTTCAGAACTTAATATTAACAGTTAGTGGCCAATTTTAAGTTTGTTTTCTGTCAAAAATTGATGCTGCTTGAAAGACAACCCTCCACGTAACATTAGTATTTCTCTTCATGAAGGCAAAGCACTAGTTGTCGCCCCCCCCTTATGACAGATTCAACATCAAGACAAGAAACTTAAAAACCTTAGCAGATAAAGTTAGTGGCCAACAATTATTTGTTTTTCTCCTTCCCAAGATAAAGATCTGCCACACAGACCATCAAGCTTAATAGAAACTGAAATGCCCTAGAGAAGCTTGCAGTCTAGATACGTTCTTTAATCCTCTGCATACAGAATGTCAGAAATTTACTAACATTCATACCTGTTTTGTTGCAACATGTCTCTGGAACATGCTGACATTAAAGAAGCATCCAGATGTATTTGCTGAAGTCAGGGAAAGACTGTTTTTGTAATTTACAGCTCTAACACACAGCTATTTATCTGAAATAAGGTATGACTGTTTGATGCATATAAAAACAATAATGGTGCTAATTACTGAACAACCTGGTGACTACTGAACAACCTAGTTAATACTTTGGATTAAAAATGCTTTGCAATTGTAAGAGAACTGAGTTCTAGAAGAAAACTAGCAATTTTGCATTAAAATTATCACAAAACCCATTGCTCATATCAAGCTTTGGATTCTACCACTCATGTTATATCTCTACGGGATCCAGAAATTTAAACTGCATTCTAGTTAGATCTGTGCTGCTAATGTTTAAAGCGTGTATTTATGAGTCTCCAATAACAGCAGTTAAAACTCCAGAAGCTCTGTCAAACCTTTGCATTAGAACAGACACTTGAATATTTCATAAACCATGAATTCCATAAGGGCACACAATGAAGCTGAAAAAAATGTATTCTAGAAGAAAGTTTGCCTTAGCAGACACGGTCTCATTCCATTTCACTGAACTTTACAGATACAGTTTCTTTTGACTTCTAAACAAGATCAGATTGGGACACAAGACTTCTCACCATTTCTTTTTGTTATCAAGCAAGGAAAGAGCTGTACAAACTAGATTTATCTTAGCAGACAGGTTAAGTTGCTTCTGAGCTATCAAGCCTCACTGTTCCTCTCCTAATTATTTAAAATCTATAGAGCTTGAACAGGATCTTAACAGAGTTCAATAGCAACAAGCATTTGGCTGCCTCTTGGAACCTAGATGTCAAGTATCTAAGCCACTGGCATATTAGATGAACAGCCACAACAGCTGCAGAAACACCCACCTGGACAAACTCAAGGGGAAAAAAATGACACAGACAAATGTAGAGTCACAAGTTAAACATCATTTGAAAGAAACTATTCTAGGTCTGAATCCTCCTACTCTTTTTCTTCCCCAGAAAGATAATGATTTAGAGAGTTTTTCATTGTAGATCATAGGGGGTTTTGATAGCTGCTTTTTAACAATGACGTTGCTTTCAATACCTGTTTCATAACTGGTAAAAAAAACCCAGCAGATTTCACCCCGTCTTTGTCACAGTCAATGAAATAAACTGCAGTTTTTGAAAGATACTCATTGCTTCTTTCCTCTTCCTCTTTTACAAGTAGGGAGTGTACACAGTTCATATTTCACTAAAGATTTTTTTAACTACATAAATTATAGTTCAGCTTTGAAGGATACTACACAATTGGAAAAATTTATTATAATCTGCAGTAGTTACGAGACTGCACATAACTTCTTGTAATACTGATTTTGTTAGCAATTCTTTTTGAACTCAAGCAAGTATAACAGGTAATCAATAAAATCTTTTCACATTATTCATACTGACACACAGTACTTCCACATTATTAGTTTTAAGCAAATACTGCACAACGTTATTCAGGAATTATTACTAGTACTTACTATTCTAGGACTAAAATCATCTCTGTTGCAGTTTCATAAACTTCATGCAAGTTAATGACCCAAAGGTTGCATTGTGCCAGCTCAAGGACTGCAATTTCGTGGATTATTTCCATCCGACAGTCTTGGCCCTTTCTTCTTTTTCTCATGAATTTTGCTGCAAACTCTCTTTCAGTGTCTTTCTGGATACACTTCTTCACCACTGCAAATTTTCCTCTGAAATGAAAGAATAATTTTAAGTTAAAATTAAGTCCCTTAGTGACAACATCAGTATGGTCCTTATAAATTAGCATTACAGGAAACTTGAACTAAATCACTGTTAATGAATACATTTAAAATATGTTCTAAATTTAGAAAGATGCCTTGCTAAGTGATAATCCCTACACTTAAGTTAGGAACATCACAAGCCAGAATGTAATTTAACCTCCATTAAAAATAAGAACTTAAAAACCCTATCAATTCAAGGAACATCGATTTCAAAAATACAAAATAAACAAGCTGTGCTAGTTTGCAAGATTAAGGTATCCTCAAACCTTTCATTAAAAAGCTGGGAGAAACCCAAGTGTACAAACAGGCAATTTATGCTTTCTGTGACTACGTTATAAAAACCTACATAATTGCCCAGCTATTGTTTTCTAAAGTACCCCACTATATTCAAGGCAACAGCAGCCAGCACTCTTACTGAATAACTGCTCAAAATCCTGCTCCATTTGCCGTGCAATATCCAGACTCTGCTCTGCATTTTCAAAGATGGCACTTTGTATTTTCACCATAATATGTCTCAAATGATAACAGCCAGAGTTTCTTGATTGTTTAACAGTTCTCAAAATCCCTTATTCTTAGTCTCAGTGTATAAGTAAGGAACATGGATAATTTAAAAAAAAAAAGGCAGTTTGACCAACATAAAGCTTTCTAACAAAATTTTGGGACAATGATAATGTGAATACAAACACACACCGAGCAGAACTGAGCATAGTACTTAACCCACGTTAACGAGCGTCATTTCTGACAAAGCACACAACCGATGAGTTACACCAAGCCAGCAGGCTAGCTAAAACCACACTGCAGCACTTACGTCAGAAGACTTCCCCCCCAGCATTTTGGGCGGAAGTGTCTGCTCTAAACTTCCTTGCAATGGAGTCCCAGGCCACCTGCTCCACTCTGTTCCATTCATACAGTACAGATTTTTAGACTGAAAAGGTCTATTAATTAATATCTGTGATCTAATGCAATAATGAATTGTCATACTTTGAAGTATAGCGATCTTATTTGAGTTCTTACCATACAGGTATAATGTTCATAAAACCTTTTTTATTTGTATGTAAAAATTTTCTTATAAAGCTGCAGGAATAGCTTGGAGATCTTTATTTTGGTTCTTTACTTAACTTACCGTAGGGTTGCTGAAACCGAAATAAGAGTCCTCATCTGGTTTGGAATACAATTACGTAGGTTTTGCCTCTCCTACCTCCAAGCTGAAGTTCACAGAATTAACTAATTCAGCTTGCGTCAAACTTTTCACTCTCACAGCTCCTAACCTACTGGCAGACTTACACTTCCATGAAATGTAACTGCTAAAACCAAGCTGACCACAACTTCTTTTAATAGGCATTTGTTTCAAAATTACCCAGTCTAAGTGAATTAAGTCAAATAAGCACCCACAAAGTGGGTATTTGCCAGGCAATCTCACTAAAATAATCTGACTTCTAACCACTGATATCGCCACAGTTATTCCTCTAGGAATAATATTTTGTATAAGCACACATTATCTACAGCACAATAGGTATTAAGACTAGATCAGAGCACAGCCCAGATGGCTGTGAAGGTAGACAAACAGTAAGAATATGCTTTCAATGTCTTGAATCAAATTTTTGGGATAAAGTTCTTAATTACTTAATACTTAAGTACTTAATTAAATACTTAATTACTAATATATACGTTAAGACAAATTTTGCTTTGCAAATGCATGAAAATAATATTATAGGATTTTGTAGCACTAGGAAGGTGTTGACAAAAGATCACTATAAAATGCATTAATCGCTATAGAGTTACCACAGGAGGAACAGACACCCAAAGCCTCGAATAAAGCCTAACAACCTGGTAGGTGCCTAGTACACATCTATCGAAAACCATGTTGGAAGTAATAACAAATGTGTATAGTAGGGACAGCTCATCAGGAAACACAGGAATGCGCTCACGATGCTCCTGATCCCAACAATATTGGGAGGACAGTGTTTCTTTTAGGTAGATTTCTAGGAAGTTTGTGACATTAGTGCTGCAGCTACAGGTATAAACGTCCCTCCAGTATTGCAAACCTAACCACGACAGAGTGCAACTTTCCTTATGTAGCCAGCGAAAAGGATTTTAAGTTATTCCAAACGAGGACACGCATCTATATGATTCAGCATACAATATAAAGCTATGCATTTATCCAAAGTGTTAAAATCCTTGCCGAAGTTTTTAGCACCAAAACCAAAAACAGCACAGGAAAAAAACCCTAGCAACTATGCTGATAAGAAAAAAAACCCAACAGACAAAAATAAATTGTGAGACTAACAGATAAGCCCTTTAACAGCAACTTATTTTCATACCTGGTAGATACTAAGCCTTTATATCAAAACCCTAGACCCCTGGGTTCAGCCTTCTCTATTTTTCTTAAATAGCCTTTGAATGCACAGTTTCCTTCTGGTTGAATGTCGCCTTAGCACAGAGTCAAAACTTTTAATTCTAGCACTGGTGAAGGACCTAGAGAAAGTAGTTTAGAAAAGTTTGAAACCTCTATAATACAGCTTTCAAGAAGCACAGTGTTGTTTTGCATTACATACAAAATCTATCTGGAAGCAAGTTAATTAGCCTAATGAGAACCAATGTTGCCGATTCATCGCACATTAGTCACTATGGAAATAGAACAGTATTCACGGGGCAGCAAGAAACAGCAAGAGCCACCACTGTGTGTGGCCACACATGTCCTGTTTAGCTGAGCTGGCCAGAAGCCTGATAGGTGACGTAATTAAAAGGACAGGTTACACGGGAGTTCAGCTGGCTGACAAATACTAGTTCTTAGTTGTTTAAGACTAAGAATCCTGCCCAGATTCTTTATGGTTATACCTATAATTAGAGCTATTGTAACTACAGTCTGTAGAACTCATCTTTTCTGAATACAATCCCAAAAAGATCAAACTTGACGAACCTGATGTTTATAGCTAGTAGAACTAATTACTGTGCAGCAACCTAGATTCATGCCTGAAAATTTCAAAGCTAAGATCCAAAGATACCATCCACTGTATGGTTAAGCCAAGAGATAAATTTGTAAAGAATTTCTTTTTGATAGAGACAGAATAGTAGATAAGACAGATATAAACAAGCTTTCCCATAAAGTACACATTGCATACGCTTCATCTTCGCTTTTCTTAAAATCCTGCTTTTCAGAACTCCTTATAAAAAGATCTATTAAATAGTGAGGAGAGTATTAGATCAGAGCATTAGATGAAGGCATTGCTAGTTTAGGTGTATTGAAAGGAACTAGCAGAGAGAACACTACACTGAAGGAAGAACAATTTTGAGAGGAAATACTTAACATGCATTTCCAAAGTTAAAAACTGACTACCAATCATCCAAACACAAACAGAAATGCTTTGAAGGGAGACATGAATAGGAAACTAGAAGTAGTTCTCAGTCCTCACAAGAGCCTCGTTCAAGAACGATGATTTAAGATAAATCATATCTGATTACAAAGAAGCTCAATTTCATCTTTTCAGATTGCCAATAGAATTAGCATTGTTTCATCTGGCATACGTTATGGCTAAAGCAAAAGCCTCAAATCACAAATCAAATGTCAAATCAGAGAAGCAGGAACATTTATGTCACACCAGTTAATTTTGGTTGTCACAGGCTCAGAAGAACAGAAAACTAACCTTACTTTAACAATTATTTTTCAAGAGACCTATAAAACCCTGGCACTGTAACAGATGCAGGAATAACAGCAATTCCTGTGAAGATATTTACTTTTTATAAAGTTCAGAAAACTCTTCTGATATCCACAAAACTATATGCAATTTATTACATAACTCATATCAAACATTTTTTCTGAAACGTGGGGTTTTTTTTTCCCCTACAAGTTTTGATTTCCAAACAGCAAAGTGTGGGGATTCCATTTCTGATGTTCACGAATAATTTACTTACAAATTTATTCTCAAATGGTGGAACCAACTACTTGCAACTCTTGATTTTTCACCTCTTTTCTACTTTCACTTAGTTCCACAACTGTTTCACCCTAGCTGTGCTACTGCAGAGAGCAGCTGAGGACAGAACCATAATAGCATGTACATTCTTACCGATGCACAAAATTGTACAAGTGTCAGGTACCACTAAGATGCACATTACTGAAAGCTACCTGAGAAGTAAGCAAGTTCATGCCAGAGTTTGTGGGAAAAAAAAAAATAAATTCAAGACATGGGTTATCTGCACATGAAACTACAGCCAGGTCACTAGTTAGAAACAAAGAATATTTCCTTACTCTGTTCAGTCTCCTCAGATGATTAAAATACTTGCTATTCTTAGCTCTGGGTGGAGAATGACCTTGTCAGCTTTAACAAAGAAACGGGAATGAGGAGAATCAACTGAATTGCACTTGACATACATTCACATGTATGCACTGCATACATTTCACTAGCAGAAGATTGCTTGTTTTAGAGCAATTATTTAAGGTGACTGTTACCTTCCAGTGAGTAGAAAGCAAGGCCAGTCATTTATGCCTTCGTTCAACCCAGCTCTAGCATCAGGACTATTATTTTCTGCACACAAATGATGATTTCCAATATGTACATAGCTTGTTTTACATAAAAAAAGAATACAATAATCCATCAATGAGCTGAAGAATTAACTAATAGTCTAGTAATATTTTGTGTGCAATTAGTTAGGAGTTTTTTTGTTGAGGAAAAAGAGCAAAGCAACTAAATACAATTATACTAGACTCTTTAAAGAAGCTCTAGATAACATGAAATACATTGTTCCCTATTTTACCGTACAGTTATGGCTTAAGCACAGATGGTAAGGGGAAGAAGAGTTAAGCAATTGGTGTCTTGTCCTCTGCAAAGGTTACACTACGTCAAACTAACCTAACTCAAGCTAGCACCATCTGAAAAGACTTGAGCCTGAGTGAGTTGATGAGAAGTGGCACCCTTAAAACATCCATCAGAGGTAAATTTGATTTTAAACGTCATGCAGATGAAGATTTGTGTGAGAACATGCTGATCTTGGGACAGTAAAATTAATAAGGCTGTGAAGACTTGCCCAAAATTTCATTTATTAAAACATTTCATTAAAAAAAACCTGCCATTTCCATGTCATCTTAAGCAACTTAAAATAATTTCCTTTCCAGAGCAGCCATTATAACCAAGTTTTTGGTATTTTTCCTAGCAGCTGTATTTCGATAGACTTGCAAATGCCTGTTCAGCTACTGAATGAGGCAGCAGCCTTTTGAAGCACATAAGCTCTGCATTCTCAAAGCGTTTTTTTTCCCCATGAGCAGAACCTCCGGTGACATTGTGACCAGGTTCCTCCCAGGCTCATCTACGACTTTCAGCAATACTTCCCCAGGACTTCCACCTCTAACGTACCACCAGGGGCTAGCAGCCCCAGTACCTCCCTTCCCTGCATTGCTAGAACTACACCATCTCAATGTTTTCCCATGTTTCCCCCTCTTCCCACCTCCTCCACACAGAGGTGACAAGGGAACAGAGGACAGAAGCCCCAGGTGCCATGGTGAGTTCAGCATACATGCGTTGACTGACTGGATCCGAGGCCAAAGAGCACACAAACCTCCCGAGTTCATGCAGCAGCCTTACTCTCAGCAACGGTGCTAAATCTGCTTTTTCTCTCCCTGCTGTCAGTTGTAAACTCAATTTATACAAATGTTGTTATTCTCAAAACCTCTATCTAAAGTTCAGCTTTTAAATTTTTTCCCTAATTCTGGGAAGTGGGATGGACAAATAGAGAGCGTATAAGAATTTTTCATTAGCAAATTCAGCTACCAAATTAGAATTAAAATAGACCATGTTGTGTGCACAAGGACCGCTTTTCATCTGAGACAAAAACCTGTCATACCTGGGTGCTAATTTGTCCAAGTCCTTTGTAAAGATAAGTCTCTACTTATGGGTAGAGTTTACACACTTTATGAACAGATAAAAGTGAAAACATTTCTGCTAAGCATACTTTATCAATAAAATGACAGAGACAGTTACAAGTGGCAGAGAGACTTTCCATTTACCACCTATGCTTTGTCACAATGAGTTAGCAGAAAATTGTTTTTAGTGTGAGTACTTGAGCTGAAGTATCCACTTTTTCTTTTAATCAAAATGTCGTAAAAAAGTAAGCATTTAAAATTGTTGAATAAAAACCAAGCACGTACATTCAAATGTATAGATTTC